CAATGTATAAATACAGTTAAAAAAAAAAAACAAAAACAAAACCCCAAAACACTAGAAAGAAATCCCTTTATATTTATGGTGTATCTAAATTATTGCTTATTTTAAATTTTGCTGCAGGTTTTATGTAGATTTTATTGGACAAATGACAATTGTGTGTATGCATACATTTTGATTTTTTTTGGCAAAGTAAAGGCTTGTATGAGATAATTCAGACTGCATATGAAACAGAGGTGTGCTCACTAGTCCTGTTCAGACCATGCTGGAAAGATCTGCCTAAAAAACTGTGGGAAATGGAAAAAAAATTACTCCACTTGTCTTCCAAATGGTGTAGTTGATCTGGGAGCTGAGCTGATACCATCAGGAAACAGATTTAGCCGAGTTTGAACAGTTCTGTTACCCAAATTTCCTATTGCACTAAAAGTTAATTTTAAATAAAGGGAAAGTCCCTGTTTATTTGATTTCAGAACCTCCAGGGTAGCTGATACTTAATTGGACAAGACTCCAGGTTTCTGTGAGAAAGTATGGAATGTTTAAGAACTGGGGTTACGACTGAAGTGATACGGGAAAAACAGGGGCAAACCTAACAATAATAAAATAATAATAATAATAATAATAATAATAATAATAATAATAATAATAATAATAATAAGCATTTTGCCACAATGAAGTTTAGTGAGATTCTGCTAAAGAAATGTATGTGGCAAATTCCCTATAAAATAATTTTAAGAAGACAAAGCCTTTAAAATACCGGAAAAATTTTTGTTATGATTATTTATAAACTAAATTAAATTATTCAATTTTAAATAGTCTCCATGTAGTCCTTCTTTTTGCCTTCCTTTAGTTTAGATTTGCTTCAAATTCTTCAAAAAGGACTCGATATTTGTAAAATATTCTGGTTAGGCTGGGATTTTAAGCATTTTGTTTTCATGTTAGAATATTTACTCTTTCATAAATCTTTGATAAATTATTTCATATTTTGATCTTGTTGGTAAAAAAGTTTGTACTGTAGTAAAGGCGGATTATGTAGCAAAAAGTGTACATTTTAAAACATCATCTTTTTCAATAAAATTACGTCAATATGCTCTACTTGTAGAATTAATAAAAAGTCAGTGGGGTTTCAACCTGTGAAAGGACCCAGCTCTTAGTCCACCTTCATGATAGTTAAACTGACAATGCAGATGGATAACAGAGTTATAACAACCCAGATTTTCTGAAAATAAATTTTATCTCTGCTGAAGAAAAGCAGTGCACAAATGGATATGTGATTGTAATGAAAGGGGGGGGAAAGAGGAATTTTAAAAACGCAACTGTAGAAGTGAGGCTTTTACTTTTTACCTTTAAAATGACATTAGTGAAARCTTTACTGAAATACAGAGATGCAGTTGTCTAATGGGGCAATCATAATTAGTCCTAGTTAATGTTCCTGGGCAAGTTTAGGGTATGGTGCTGGGCTGTGCCCTCTGGTGCTCTGGGGTGGAGCACAAATTCAGTTCATCCACACTTATAAAGATGGGATAGAAAGGGATGGATTTTGTCTCTTTGGATGCTGTTTCTTAATCCACCTCTGAGCATAGGTTAATCCTTGGAAAGGTGCAACTTCAAGCCAGGGAACAAAAGATGCTCTAATGGGAAGGCCCAGAATCCCCACACAGACATATTTTTGATTCAAACCTTCTTCACTTGGATACAGTTGTCCACAGGCTGGAGTTAAAGCCTGCTGAGATCTGGGAGACTCTTCTGTAAAATGGGATGTTTTAGAGACTTTTCCAGTAAGCCTCTGAAATGATCCACTAAGCATGTGCAAATACCAACTTTCAAAACCTTTCAGCACAGCCAAAGCAGAAGAAAAGACAAATCTGTCTTGCCAGGTTTCAGATTTTTGCTCAGAAGCTGGGAATAATGCAAACCRTCTCAAGAGATAATTAAAACATCTTCTTACTGCGCAATCCATTTCCTGTCAAAGTTTATCTTTTTATGCAATTTAGCATTTTACTTACTTATTCTAAAAAGCAGTCTTGCAGGAGACAATGCAGGAGGGAGAAGACTAAAGCTCAGTTATGTGCCTGGCAGAGAAGCAAACTATGTAAAATAAAGTTGTATGGTATCATTTTTTAAGCACATTCAACAATAAACTTTATTCTGTCTGAATTGGAACACACTGCATTCACTAGAAAGCACTCTTTAATAAAGAGCTGCACAAAAGTAGAAGTATTAATTACTCCTTCAGAGATCTCTTTTAAACTTTTTTTTTAGTGCACATACTGAAAGCACATACTGAACCTCAACCTGCTTCTGATTAAGTCAGTGAAAGCAGGACTCTGATAAACATTTAGTTTGACAAAATGAATTCAAGATGTTGGAATTATTTCATCCTCTTTACTAAGCATTTTTCCTGAATCCTCCATTCACTGAAAGATAAGATTTTAGTAAGCCTGTTACATCCTCCTGAGAATTTTTTAGGCTAAAAGTAAACTAAATGTGTCCAGAAAAGTGAATTGAACTTCACTGTGTTACACAGACGGTAACGTGCACTTCTGTAAATAAGTCACACAGGGATATATTAAAGTAATCCTTGTACTTGTTCACACAGAATGGAGCACCCGGGATAATATGGTGTATACACATGATTTTGTGAAACTTTTTATTGGTTTGGATATCCTTTTTATTCTAAATAGACTACCAACAAGTGCAAGATGTCTTTTACTCATGCAGAGAAAACGTCTATTTATGAATGCACTACTTCTAAAATAATTATAGTTAATTAACTTTCCARSTCTGTGGAGTGGGATGCYATTTGCTACAAGAAACAAATTAGGRMGATAAAAATACTTCTCTGCACARAAGGTTCCWAGCTGGTTTGGAACAATGARTATTCCTTTTACAGAATRTGATTGTTWWTATTCTTTGCCAARAAAGTGAATTAATGSACCTAGTTTTCTGATTAAGAAAATCTGATTTGATTGAGAAAACTTTATTCATTTGACTGTGAAAAGTGCTTAAGATGGATACTTCTTAAAACACTAGGYAGGTGAACCAGTGATTTTGCTTATGAAAAGCTGCTGAAGTATTTGCATCTGTGGCCATGATATATGCCTGTCTGAAAAGAAATTATTGTAATTTTTAGGCTAACCAGGGGGGAAAAAAAAACCCAACGTGTGAACCTTCTAAGCTGGAACTGCCCATTAGGTATTTGTGTGCTGATCATACTTCAACAGGAAATGGTGATATTTAAAACTGCCAAGTGAACACGTGGGGAGCATTACACTGTATATGCAATGRAACACGCATGGTTTATTTTGTGTAGCATTCTTCTGCTCCCTTAAATACATACAAGATGGGAACTCATAGACTTTTTTTAACCTTTAGCTGCTATCCTTGTAYAGAAACTGCTAAACAAAACCTGGCAGACTTGTAAACAACTTGAGTTCATTTTATTTTGTCTTRCACTGATCTCATTTCCAGTAGATAATAAATGTAATGCGCTGGTGACAGATGTGTAGAAATGTATATACAAGTAGATGAAGAAATTTGGTTCAACATGTCRCAGTTCATGTTGCATTTTATGCCTTTGCATTTCCTTGAATATGGCTGTAAAATTCCTACCTTTTGATGCACGGTCTCCAGCAATACTGATTTTTTTCTGCTCATGCAGAGTGCTGCTGAGGAGGCTGTCCTGCCAGTGACTTAGCAATGCATCTCATGGTTGATTTAGGAGATTCTTTGTGCAATGATTTCATTTTCTAGAGAGGGAAAAAAATAGATTCAGACAGCAGACCCGTATTTGATGGAAAGATGGTGGAGTTTTGTTTGTTTTTTCATAGAGGAGGATGTGTGGAGCACAGAAGATGGTTTCAATGTGAMACTTAAAATAAATACTTAAGATGTTGGGTGTTGCCTTAACAATTTGCCATTGATTGTCCTGGTCAGAACACRAATACATGAAAGCTATTGTTCTGACTGAACTATCCAACTGTTCATCGCTTTCCTCACCATCTCAGCCTTCTACAATGTAATTAGGCTTTTATACAGCTCTGTTAGACAATCTTTCTGCTGGCCTTTGGAGTATACATATGGTAAATCATTCTCCTGTTACAGGTGGGCTGGCAACTTCACTTATATATAGCAAAATTTTTTCTCTGGGGAAAAAAAAATCAGTGTAATTAATATATAAATGAAGCAAGGCGTAGGCGAGCATACTCTGCAAATTGGATTGCAATTACCGGGCTGACCAGAAATGTTCCTTGTCTGCTCGGTCTTTGTCTGAGAAAGGCAGATCTGTTGTCACTGCAGGAAAGCCATCTACAGGCCCCCAGAGTAACTGTGATGCTGGAACACGCTGCAGTCTAAATCACTTGAAATTCTGCAAGCTTCCCAGAAATTACGCAGAAGAAAACAAATATCAAGTGAACCAAGAAGAATATACACATTTGTAGGAGTGAAGGATTTTCCAGATGTACRTGAAAGTTCTGTTCGTTCACTTGTATGGTCTGTTCCTGTGATTTAGTGTGGATACAGTGATTACTGGTGGTTGGAATACAGATAATGAGAGGCRGAAGTTTCTGTTTTGGCTTTCTGTGTAATGTCTGACTTTTCACCTAATTTCTCTGTTTTCTTCTAAGAAATACCTATATCCTTGAATTTGTTCATGTATTTCCCCATCCATGTAAGTGTACTACCTCATGCAAAAGCTCTGTGGTATGTTTCAGTGGCAGTTTCATAAGCCTGTGTCACTTCATAGTACCTAGAGGAAAAGTGAAAAATACTGGCATTGTTGCTTTTTATGTAATTTTTTTTTTTTAGACTTTCCTAGCAGCTTTTCTAGGTTTGGTGAAAAGCAAAGATGTCAAAGGGACCTGTATTGATTTGTTGATCTGGCTGCATTGCAAACTCTCCATATTAAAAAAAAAAAAAAAAAAAAAAAAAA